CTCTGAATCACCACTTAAAATAAGTTATTCTAATATCTCTCCAATTTAAATTTGTATTTAGTTTGCAAGAAGTCCAACAGATGAATTCTATGTTAAATTCCAGGTCTGTTGAAATTTTCTCTAGTGCAGATGCTATAGTAATTGACCAGGTAGGGGAAAGGGAAACTCAAATTATCATATGTTCAATTTGTTTTGTTTTGTGTGCATACATACATGTGTGCACAGACAACTCTTTGAAAATTTCTTGATAGTATTTTCAGAAAGTTTACCATAGCCTTCTTCCTAGGATTGAATGAAAGCAACTGACTCGGTCACCCACGTAGAATCTATAAAGCAGGAATTCTGTTTTGATTTTCTTGCTCCATAAGCAAAAACAATAACACCTTTGCAAAAATCATACTGAGAATACATCGTACATGACTTAATGGAATTCATTGGTATACATAGCTGTCCTTTATTGCAATGTCTGAAATCATCTATATTGCAAATTAAAGAAACAATTTACTTTTCTATCCCTTCTGTGTAGATACCCAAGACACATTACATAATGGGATAATGGAGATGATGATGATGGAGGAGGAGGTAGAGAATATACACATGTGGGAATTTTCAAGGAATTTTCAAGTATTTTTTTTTTTGAGCATAGAAAAGTTATTGAACAATATTATTCAGGTTTTTGAAGTTGGAAATGTAAATTTAAAAACTTCTTCCAGTTATTAGTGCAAGCTCTATAGTATGAAATAACACTTATTAATTTATATATATATATTTTAACTGTATTTTAATGTTTGTAGTTTTTGTTTTTACTTGGCTGTTCACTGCCCTGAGTCCTCAGGGAGAAGGGCGGTATACAAATTTAACAATAAATTAATTAATTAATTAATTAAGATTTTAAAGATGTATATGAATTGGACAGATGTATTTAGATTCACCAACATGGTCTGGATTTGTACTACTATGACATGTAAGGCGGAAATCTGACTTATTAATACTTTTCTGGAGTAATCACTATATATTAAAGATGAGGAATCAATCAGGAACCAGCTTCTTTGGACGCCTGTGACATGGATCAATCAGATATCAGTTGACAAGTCCTAATCAAGAGCTCAGTCAGTCCAGATCAGCTGCTGTGAACTGCCCCGAGGTACATCACAAAGCAGCTCTCTCTGCCCCTGAAAATGTCACACAGTTGCTAGCAGAATATCAGGACAAAATAAAACTAGGCCACAGCCATTCAGCCCAAAAGTTCATCACTGCTTCATTATGTCTCCAACCTTTCAAAGACTGCTAGTTCTTAATCAGTGCTTATATTTTATAAGACTTTATACTGAAAACCTTTTTTCCAATTTGTAACCAAGATGATGTTCACATTTACTCCGATAAAATAGCTTTAAAGAAAGAAGCTACAAATACCTCTGCATGTGAACTTCTCTTTTTTTCTTGATATTCATATGCTCAGAAATTAGATACCATATATGGTTATGAGGATTCATGTTAATAGTATACTTTATGTGCTACTTTGGTTTAGGTTTAACAATGTTATTCCTATTTTTAGTACAGTGTACATGTGCACAAGGGTATGATTTCAATGTTTGAGTATACAAAGCTTGAATATAGCCTCCTGTACTAAAACAGCATATAATTTTTAGGGTCAAAAATTCTCATATTTGCTTATTCTCTCATCTTTTCTCGAATTAAATAGCAACAAATACCTGATATGGTCACACATATAAAACTAACACTGGGAATCCCTCAACTTCCGTTCAGAAGCATACCAGACCAGTTGAAAGGAAAAGATAAACTTAAGAAAGAACCCACAGAGATTAGACTAGTGAAGGCTAACACAGCAGGAAAAAATAGAGAGCTGTATTAGAGCATTGTGTTGAACACAAATGAAATGGTCTTCCTTTTTTTCTGGCAGCTCCTTGGTATTGGAGTCCCTCCTCCAACAGCTCATTCATCCACCTGTATGGAATTTCTGGCCAACTAAGCTGGTGCTCAACTGAAGGTAAAAGCCCTTAATTCTTACCAGGAACAGAAAAACATCCAGATAGAGAAAGAAGAGAAGGAACATGATGGTTATCCAGATTAGTGAATTTTGCACCATAATGTTTTCAAGCAGTTTTAAGTGAAATGGGTGGTACTGTAAAAGACAGGCTGCATCAGAAAGATTCCAAAGAAAAGTTCCAATAACTAGTATAGTCAGAACTCATGTAATTTAGAAATGGAAAAATAAACAGGATGACAGTTTCTGGAGGTGAGGAAATTAGAATTTAATCTAGATCTAACAGAAAAAAAAGAGCTGTACGTGTTTAATCATGGCTAGTTTAAGGATTTAATATACTTATTAACCTACGCAACACAGGATAAAAAAAAAACATTAAGCACACCCAGTAATATCAACTTCCTTTTTAGGGTAGTTGCATAACAATATGGAAACTCAATATATAAATTATTTTCTTAAGTGCCACCAGTCATTCTATCAAAGCGCCTACGTCCCACTATGATAGAATTAAATAGCTTACCCTTCCAAGAAGATTGATTGTATGTTTACAGGCATTATTTGTTATTTATGATTTAAAAAACCTTAATCTTTAATGATTTACACCCATGTTCTACCGGATTAGTTTTGAATTCCCCTATTGTTCATGTGCCTCCAATCACCGACTTACTCCTTTCCGGGAGATGACAATATTATATTGATATTACAATAAAGATGATTTAAAATACTTTTGTTTTTTCTGAAAATATTTTGGAAATGTAATGTCTATGCATATGTAGAATACTGTTTCTAAAAATATGTTACCATTATTCAAAAGTTCAGTATTTTACAACTGAGCAACTTCTCATCTACAGCCCATGTAAATATATTGTAACAATATGAACAAAAACATAGTTTAAAAATAAACCAGTCTTCTGCCATTGCCCATTTCAAGCACATATTTTTTAAAACCCATTGTGGTAATACCAACGTGCAAAGATTTCCCAAGTTTCCATTTTCATACACTTTCATGAAGATGGAGAGAAATGCCTCTCTGATGGTCATTTACCAGAGAACCATTGTGGACATATTCTCTGCTCCAGGAAGATACCACCAGGGAGGTCTTAGGTGGGTGGTGTGAATACATATTTTCATGAGAGATTAATTTCTTGCCCCATTACTACCCGAACCAGGGTTAGAGCCAGGTGGGAGGTCTTTATTTCTGTGTGGGTTTAAGCACCACACAGTGCACACCAAGGACATATTAACAGTGTGTTGAAGCTGCCATATAATATAATTCTGCCATACAAAGGGTCAGACTCAAATTATCTTATTTGGGACACATTATGCAAAAAGCCAGCTCTCTGGAAAGATGTACTGCTGGGAAAGATAGAAGAAAAAAAGGACAACCAGAAGCAAAGGTGGATGGATTCAGTTACAATGGCAATGGGAGCCCTCCATTGAGAGACGTAAGGGTTATGGGTAGATTATCATGGAGAAAATCTACCTATGTGGTTATTAGGAGTCAAAATGACTTGTTGGCACATAATCAATATAATCATACTGCCATACCAAGGAGTGAATGATTAAGGAATGCTAAGTGAGTAGGTTACAGTATTTCCCTAGGAAAGCAGGCAGGTGAGTCTCATAAACCCAGGTGATTGTTTGCAGGCAGGAATTATGCTATGGGTGTGGGAACAAGAAAAGCCCATTTCTCTCCAGGTGTTGTGCATTGAGGGCCTCTTTACATGTAAAGCAACCTTATCTCAGGAGAGATGTCCTCCAATCTATTGGACTACAACTTCCATCTCCTCTAGCCAGCCTGGAATTCCCTCCAACCTATGGGACTACAACTCCCATCTCCTCTAGGCAGCCCAAGAATGCCCTCCAACCTACAGGACTACAACTCCCACCTCCTCTAGGCAGCCCAGAATGCACTCCAACCTATGGGACTACAACTCCCATCTCCTCTAGGGAGCCCGGAATTCCAACCTATGGGACTACAACTCCCATCTCCTCTAGGCAGCCCAGAATGCCCTCCAACCTACAGGACTACAACTCCCATCTTTAGGCAGCCCAGAATGCCCTCCAACCTACGGGACTACAACTCCCATCTCCTCTAGGGAGCCCGGAATTCCCAACCTATGGGACTACAACTCCCATCTCCTCTAGGCAGCCCAGAATGCCCTCCAACCTATGGGACTACAACTCCCATCTCCTCTAGGCAGCCCAGAATGCCCTCCAACCTACAGGACTACAACTCCCATCTCCTCTAGGCAGCCCAGAATGCCCTCCAACCTACGGGACTACAACTCCCACCTCCTCTAGGGAGCCCGGAATTCCCAACCTATGGGACTACAACTCCCACCTCCTCTAGGCAGCCCAGAATGCCCTCCACCTATGGGACTACAATTCCCATCTCCTCTAAGCAGCCCAGAATTCCCCCAACGTATGAGACTACAACTCCCATCTCCTCTAGCCAGCCCGTCGGGGCATCCCGCTGAGAAAGGCTGCGACAACGCCTCCCCTTCGGTGCCATCCAGAAATAGGCCCCTCACGGCCGGCAAGCGCAGGGGGTTAAAAGCCAAGGCGAGGGACACCTCAAGCCGGGAGGCCTGACCGGTACGGGGAGTCCAGGCTTTGAGGAGCGGCGAACTGCGGGGCACGCGGCCTACACCGGCCTTCTTCCTTCCGCCCAAAATAAACCTCGCTGCTGCTGCCGCCGCCGCCTCAGTCTCCCGGGAACGAGGGAGGCCCTGACCGTTACCTTTTAGGCGCTGCCTGCTCCATTCTGCGGCCAGAGGCTCCCCAGACGGTCGGCCCCAACCAAGGCGCGGTGCTTTGCTTGCCAACCCTGAAGGGGCCGGATAAGGACCAATCAGGGAGCCCGAAGAAGCACCCCCCCCCTCCTCAGGAAACTCTGCCCGCAACTTTCTTCCGCTACTGGCCCTTTAAAAAACCCGAGCACGCCTCCTCCTCTCCCAGGGGGCCGTTGCCGGACTCCAACGCTCAGCTGAGCGTTCGATGGGCTGCTCCAGAAATACCGCCCCCCCAGCCCTCCAATTGGCGGAAAACGCGCGGATCCAAAACGCGCATTGGTCTTTCCAAGTGCCAGCCGGAACTCCGGAGAAGACGGAAAAGAAAGTTGCTTGGGGCCGAGCGAAGCTGCGTTGGTGCAAAGCTATAGCGGCCGGTGAGGGACGTTGGTGTGACGTCATGGGCAGAGGAACGCGGAGGAGAAAGGTCTTCTTTGCCCCATCATGCGCCGCGCCAATGATTGGCTTTTGCGGAAGGATTGCATCTTGGGTGGTGTAGTTTTTATTACTCTGCGCAGGTTTAGGGCGTTTAGTTATCCTTATGAGCCATTGAACCCTTTGCAGCGTAATATTTATTACTTCTGAGTTAAGTGGCGTGTTTGCACAGCACAGTAACCCTTGGTTTACTGAACCATGCTTCCTTGAATTCATCCAGATCTCTAGATTCATTCACACAACCCACTGAACTCAGAATAGCCAACCTCATTTTAACCTAGGTCTATGTTTCTCAAACTTGCCAAATTTTAATATGTGTGGATTTCAACTCCCAAAATTTCTCAGCCGGCTTAAAGTTCCCACGGTTGAGAAAAACACTGCCCTAGAGTGTTATTCAAAACCAATGTCATAACCACAAGTCCTTTGGATTTGATCCTGTCTATTGAAGAAAACCTGTATGTACAATGTATTTCAGCAACATAAAGTTGCCGTGATCCTTGCAGATTTGCAACTTTTAAGCAAAAACTACAGAGCTAATGTTTTCATCTTGTAGGAAGTTACCACCCACCCCTTTCCTAGAGGAATGAAATATTTTGGGAAATATAAAAAAGGTAGAATATTATGTTTCCCTGGATGAGAAATGGAGAAGCATGTTTTAAAGACGAAGCAGCTCCCACCTTCTTGCCCCCCCCACCCTTTGTCAATGGGCCAGAGGCAGAAACTCAATTTCCTCCCATCTTTGTCAATGGACCATCATCTGCAACACAATAGGACCCATCTAGCAACAGAAACTCACCACATGGCACCTGGGAAGATTACATCAGCCAGCAAGGCTAGCTAAGACTCCCACCCCGGGAGTCTGACAATCAATCAGGATACTCTTTCTGGGCCCCAGGAAGTTCAAAGCCAGAGAGGACATAAAACCCAGGGACTCGCAGCATCTCGGCCCCTTTTCTGTTCAGGAACTCAAACCATGTGATCTTGTCCACCATTAAACCATCTTTCCAAGCAGTCTCCATGTTTCCAGTGTCTTTTTCCCCACTTGGAGCTGAACCCAGAAGGATATTCCTTCTAACACTCCCACACACACCTTACCCCTGTTTTATCCCATATTTCTTTCTTCTCATCCTCACTCACTCTCCCTGAGGTTTGGATAGACAGCAACAAAATATTTACTCTCCCAAAAGGAAGAATTTCTTGTATGTGCAAGTAAATGTTTTCAGAATGCCTGCAGGTACTATAACAGGCAATCTGGAACATTCAATGGTAGAGAGGAACTGCAAAGGACAGTGCTTACAGCAACAAGTGTTAAGCAGATGTAATGTTGGTAGGACTGTGCACAATCTCTGGTCATTCTTAGGAAGGCCACAGAACAAAACTATAGGCCATCCAGTTGTTTTAAGAGTGCAGATATTTCCCTTTAAATGCAGCTGATGACACAAAAAAGTATTAGTCTTATTAATCTGCCAAATGGCACATTCTATTCTAATTAGAATTATCAAAATTCTTTGCTTGCATCAGTCAGAATACTTGAGCAACATGGAAGTTTCATAAGAATGGGATAATTAACTACCTTGACATACGTTGCAAATTTAATTCGGCAAAGAGTTGGAGATCTAATGTTCTCCTCACTGATTTGATTTCACAGAAGGTGGAAGAAGGAACCGTGGGATCTGTAGTCCTACGCCCACTTCTTACAACAAGAAGAAATTGATTGAATAAAGGTAAGTGGAATCTTTAGAATAAGTGGCCATGTTATCCTTGAATTCATCATGTCAAAGTGAGGAAAAATAGAGAACAGTCAGGTTTGTATACCTTCAAACAGTCAGGTTTGAAATCCTGAAGGAAAAGTATGGGAAACCCTATGAAATGAGATACTGAAGGTGCAAATACAAACAAGTCCCACTTGGAAGAAAAATGGGGAACATCTAAATAGATTGTGGTGGATACATAAAGAGCTTTCTAATATGCAATGGAGAAACATTCTGCCTTCCACTAATATTCTTATCCATGACATGTATAACAAAAGCCTTTCTGTTGCATTGGTGTAGTTTGATAATGTGGCGGAGCATGTCTGGCCTGGCTTTCCACGTGTTCAAAAGACTAGGGTTGTTTGGTAATCCCTACGGACCAGGGGTGGGTTCTACTTACCTTTACTACCGGTTCGCAGCGTTTGCTTCGCTGGCGCACGCGTGCACTCTTCTGCGCAAAATGCAGAAACATTTTGATGATGTCGGGGTCGGTGGGCGGAGCCTCCCACCGGTTTTACCACCGGTTCTATAGAACCGGTGTGAACTGGGGGCAACCCACCACTGCTACAGACACATCAAAGTCTTTGTCCTACATTTTGACCTTGACCGCTTCTGAGTTTCTTATCATGTGCACAAACCTTTCTAACATTAAAATCTCTCCACATTGTTTGATCTTGTATGGCTTCTTTCAGTTACTGATGCTCTGGCTAGTGTCAGCTTCAAATGGTATCCAGCCACAAGGTTTTTTGGCAGCCTCATTTCCTTTTTCCGCCAGCCATTGGGAGCATAGCTGCTTTTTTAGTGAGTTTGAGCATGCCTGACATGGCTGAAATAAGTAAGGCAACATTTTGTGATTTTGCCTTAAGCAGCTTGGGAATGGAGCCTTGGCCAAAATGCTCCCAGTCAACCTGTCCCTGAGGTGTCACTTCTGTAACTCAGAATGCAAAGTCATCTACTTTTTCATTCAGCCATCTTGTAGCAGATTCCCAGGCATTGTTGCCCTGTCATGAAATCAAGCACTTTCATAAATCTATGTGGGAGGAGGGGCAGGGGTGGAATGATCAATTTTTCATCAGATTTTCACATGTCAAGGAGATAGGAATCTTTATCCTTAGCAGCAATAGCAAATGGATAACATTTGCTTGGATCCCTATATCCAGCACAGAATTGTTTATGATTGGAATGGCTTATAAGCACAATAAAATAAGCAACTAAAGTAAGCAAACATAGCTTTGTTTATTCTCTTTACAAAAATGTTTCTACAATTCCATGCGTTAGTCCAATATTAAACCATAGCTACTTTATTCCAGGATGGGAGAAAAGCTGGAACTATATGTAGTGTAGAGGCTAGATAAAATATTCTTGTGCTTGATATTGCTATCCATTTAATCAGGTCCAGTTTTCATCCATTTTATGAGTTAAGTTGCTCCACTTTTTCTGATTTTACAGGGCTTCTTTCAGTTGTTTTATGCTCTGGCTGGTGTGGGCTTTGATGGTGTCTAGCCACCATTTTTTTTTGTATCCTTGTTTCCTTTTATTGTTGACCGTTCCAAGCATAACTCCTTTTTCCAGTCAATTTGAGTGCATGACATACAGAAATAAATAAGGCAGAATTTTGTGGTTTTGCTTTCCAGAAATATGTCTGGTGTTATTGTTGTGCTTAGAGCTGGGATTTAAATAATAAATGGGATTTAGATTAGTCATCATTAATTTGTCTCCACTTCCTTGATTTCAATAGACCAATAGCCAACAGAGCCATTCCTTGCCTGGCTTTCTCTCTGTTGTTGTCCTGGTCCCTCCCTTTAAAAGCATCACCTACTAGCAGGAAACATGCATTAACTGGGTTTCTGTAACAAAGAGGACGGAACTACACAATGACCTGGTGCCTTTCAGCTTGGCATTCTTCACTATAATGTAAATTTAAGTATGTCTTCTGATCCTGTAATATTTTTTTTGTAAAAAAAAAAATCTTTGGGGAAGAGATTGTGAGAATGGTACATTGTGCTTTCTTTATGTGGCAGGTGATTTTGGGAAAAGAGAAAAAGAAGTGTTCTGTAAGAAGCAATTGAACTGATATCCAATCATATACATCATCATTATATACGGAGAAGTAAAGAATCCTAACAGAGAAGGCAAACACCACACAAAATGTAGAGGAGTTCAGAGCTAACATTGAAGAAACAATGCAAGAGCAGTTTGGTAAACATCTACTTAGCCCTGGGAAGAAAGGGGGATGAGAAAGTAACTCAAGATAACCTCACTTTGATATTCTTTCATATACATAAGAGGGGGCAGAAAGGAGCTCTGTCAGACTTCCAAGATTATGTTCATATTCCCTACAGCTATAAAGTCTTTATGGTGTCTATTTCCTGACCTGTCTACCTTGAAGGACTTAGAAGAGATGCTAGCCAATAATTAGGCAGAAGTGGAGGTGACCTCATTTTTAGATAGTCCAGCACCTGTGGTATCATCTAGATCAGGGGTGTCAAACTGGATTTCTTCGAGGGCCAGATCAGCATTGTAGTTCTCCTCCGTGGGCCGGAGGGGGAGGGGCGGGGGGAGATGGGATGGCTGGCTCCTGCAGCACCCTGCTGGCCAAAATGGGGCATGGGGGGTCCACACGCAGCCCCCCGCGGCTCATTTTAACCCTCCATGACCTCCTGCAGCACTCTGGTGGCCGAAAATGGGCCCCGCACGGTCCATTTTCAGCCCTGGTTTTGGCCCATTTTTGGCCCTGGTTTTGGCCCATTTTGGGGGCCATTTTTGAGCCCATTTTCAGCTGGCAGAGTGCTGCAGGAGGCCATGGGGGTGAAAATGAGGCATGGGGGGGGCTACACACAGCCCGTTTTAGCCACCAAAGGCAGCGTGGGCTGATCCTTTGATTTTCCAGTCTGGCCCCATGGGCCGGATTTAAGCATCCCGTGGGCCAGATCCGGCCCGCAGGCCTTGAGTTTGACACCTCTGATCTAGATGCATTTCATCTGAATTTTGGTCATATTCTCTCTGCAGCCAGATGTTAAGACTAAATTAAGCATTTTTATCTACCTATTCAGTCCTTCTCAAGGACCTGGGATAGGTAGAAGTTGTTATTTAATAATGTAAAAAATATATTTGCAGAATGTAAACTGTTCCAAGTAAAGCTGCCTCTTGAAATTGACTGATAGTGATTTTGTCAATGTTGATGGTGTTTGAGTGGTGTCCAGATGTTTTGAGATTGCACCCAAAGCAGCTTTACTATTGGTGCTATCTTTGCTTTCTTTTACCACAGTTGTTCTATTTGTATTGTAGATCTTGGCATTTTGTGATTTTCTCCAGTTCTTTCTCTCCTATTTCACTGTGGCCAGGAACTGTAGCATCGACTGTCTGGACTCTTTTGTCCTTCTTATTAACACTTGTTAAAGTATGGGATGTTATGTGGCAGATGCTTGTCTGTTTGATTTCTAAAGTTCCAGAGGACTTTAATGTCTTCATTTTCTATTATTTTGTCTGTTTTGTGATCTCATCAGTTCTTGCTTGCAGGCAAATAGTATTTCTTCCATCTAATGGTATTAGATCTTCATAGATCTTCACACCATTGTTGCTACTTTGTCATATCATTGTTTATAGTCAGTCTGTGCAATCTTCTTGCAGCAACTAACTGGGTGGCCTACTGTTTCTTCAGCTTCTTTGCAGAGATGGCATTTGCTGTCTGTTACTATCTTCTCAATTCTTGCTCTGTATGCATTTGTTCTTCAGGCTTGGTCTTGTACAGCCCAAATTAGCCCTTCTGTCTTTTCTTAATTTTCCCTTTCTTAGCCATTCTCAGGCCTTGTTGTTATCTGTTTTGCCTGGTTTCTTTCTTTTTTGTTTAATGTACTGACCATGTAATATTTTGCCTTGCCATGTCTCTTTTCTATTCTTCTTTTGGTCCTTCTTATAAGCCAGTTTGGTTTCCCCGGTACACAGTAAGCCTTCATGGTATACTAGCTTTGCTTGAATGTCCATCAGATATTTTTCCATTGCCCCTTTTTCTTCTTCAGCTATCTGGTACACTTGCAACATTCCACACCCACCTTTTTACCTTGGTAAATATTCTGTCAACATCACTGCCTAGTTGAAGGAGTGATTCATTGTCATTACTTTTCTGGTCTTCCAATCCCAGGGCTTTTAGTTCTGCTTAAGGCCAGTCCACTACTCCAGCTGTGTACCTAATGACTGGAATTGCTCAGTTGTTAATTGCCTTGATGGTATTTATTATTATTATGATTCATTGCACAGTCAGTCAGATGTTTAGACTGGATTTGACATTTTTGTCCACCTATTGAATACTTCCCAAGGAGCTAGGATAAGCAGACATTGTTGTTTATGGTTCTTATTATTATTATTTTGAATATAAGGTTAGTGTCGCTAATTTGCAGTTGCAACAATAAGAAATGGAAATGTGACATACTCTGGGCTAAAGGTGATGAGGATTAGGAAGATAATTATTAGAGATCTTTACCTCCCTGAGCAGATCTCATGAATTAGCCAGTGTCCTTGGCTAGGTCATCTTCTCAAAAGAAACTTGTAGGGCTGTACTCTCCTCCAGTAGGTGGAATGTTGATCTTGCTCCTGGACCAGGGGTGAAATCCAGCAGGTCCTGACAGGGTCTGGAGAATTGGTAGCGGAAATTTTGAGGAGTTTGGAGAACCAGCAAATACCACCTCTGGCTGGCCCCAGAGTGGGGTGGGAATGGGAATTTTGCAGTATCCTTCCTCTGCCACGCCCACCAAGCCACACCACGCCCACAAAGCCACGCCCACAGAACCGGTAGTAAAAAAATTTGGATTTCACCACTGTCCTAGACACTGAGCAGCCACACCAGATGAAATCAAAGGACACAAATAAATTGAGAGGAGAGAGAAGCAATGACAGGACGTTCTGATCTAGTTCTTGCCCTTTGGAACATTATTTCCCTGGAGGTCAGATTGCCCTTGCTGACCTTCCAGAAGGGCCGAAAACATGGTTATGTCATCCAGTCTGGGGAACCTAGTAATGTGACTATGGTGTCTGTAAAGTAGCAATAGCACTTAGACTTATATACCGCTTCACAGTGCTTTACATCCCTCTCTAAGCGGTTTTCAGAGCCAGCATATTGCCCCCCCAACAATCTGGGTCCTCATTTTACCCACCTCGGAAGGATGGAAGGAAGGCTGAGTCAACCTTGAGCCTGGTGAGATTCGAACTGCCAAATTGCAGGCAGCCGGCAATCAGCAGAAGTAGCCTGCAGTACTGCATTGTAACCACTGCGCCACCTTGGCTCTTAAGTAGTTACGGTATATAGGTAGCCCTCAATTTACAACAGTTTGTTTAGTAATCGTTCAAAGTTACAACAGCACTGGAAAAAATGACTTATGACCATTTTTTACACTCAGGACTGCTGCAGCATCCCCGTGGTCAAGTGATCAAAATTCAGATGCTTGGCAACTGATTCATATTTATGACAGTTGCAGTGCCCCAGGGTCACGTGATCCCCCTTTGCGACCTTCTGACAAGCTAAGACAATGGGGAAGCCAGGTTCACTTAACAATCATGTTATTAGCTTAACAACTGCAGTGATTCACTTAACAACTGCGGCAAGAAAAGTCGTAAAATGGAGCAAAACTCACTTAACTGTCTCACTTAGCAACAGAAATGTTGGACTCAATTTTGGTCATACGTTTAGGACAACCCCTATTCTTATATAATATCCACAAATTGCACTTTTATAGCTTTAAGGGTTTTAGTGCTTTTAATGTTTTTAATGCGTTTTGTTGTGGTTTTTGTTATTTATTAGAGTGTTTTTTTAAAAACTTTTTTCACCATCCACATATATGAGATGGGAGGTAATTTACCAAATACATAAATAAATATGCATTATCCAGAAATGAACCACATATATTGAATGAGACATAAAAAGTTCTAGCAATATGGAAAATGAATGGTTGACTTCAAACAAGCCAATTTTCAAAGGTTGCTAACAGCAGATGAATACATACTAGACAGCAGTAGCGACGTAGGTAAGATTTTTCTTCAGGGTATTTATTTTTTGAGCATTGCTCTGTGCTTTAAAATTCCATGAGAGCTGTTTGGAAACAGGTGAGTTACCAGTATATACCAGTCTTCTTCATCCTTTAAACACAAAAGGCATAATTATTTAGGCTGTGAGGTGAGAAATCCAAAATCCACATTAAAGCAATAACATTTTCCAGCTTAGGGTTTCAGATTAATGTGCAAGCATTTGATTTTCTTGAACTTTTCACCAGACAAGATGGTTTAAAGAAAATTAAAGGGGAAGAAAAAGAGAGAGCATGTAGTCATTTGTAGCATAGCCATGGCTATGCTCTAGTAAAGTCTTTGATGTAATATGAGCATCAACTGCAGACAAGCAAATTAATCCTATCATCTGCAGAAGTGGTGTTATGTTTCACCAAAGACTCTTCCAAAAATTGCTGGAATAATGAAAAAAAAAAAAAAAAGCAGCCTGCTGGTTTTCCATCCCACCCACCCCCTGGGGAGTAAATGGCATTTTAATTCATTAAAATAATGATGATTGTGTATGCTGGGTCAGTTCAAGCCATGTTGGTAAGTAATTCAGACATCTGTATTCAAATCTCTACCAGTGGCAAATTGAATGAAAAGGCCACTGTTCCAAAATACATTTACATATATAAAAATCCTGCTTTCTGTATTCTGAATTAACATATTTTTTGAAAACAAAAATCGGAAAGTATCAGTGGCTTAAACATCTTTATATTAATAGCCACTTTTTCAAGACTGTTACTGGATTTTAACAACTACTGTGACAACATTATAAAAGGACAATATATTGACACCAACAAACTATCATTGCAAGTTTATTAATTGCCTGATTTTAGTACTGCTGCTAGAATATACATTTTCCATAGAATTGAAGGCCCTACAGGTAGTCCTTAACTTACAACTGGTCCCTTAATGACCAAAGTTACAATGAACCCCCCAAAAGCTACTTAAGGCCCAGTTTTGAAGTTCCAACATTACCCTCCCTCTCCTGAGGTGGCCCTCCTGAGCTCTGTTTTTGCTGGCAGAAGGTTGTAGGAGGCTGCCGCAGCCGAAAATGGAGCCCGAGAGCCCGTTTTCACCGGCAAAGCGCTCAGGCCACCAGAGGCACCCCCGACACAAGTGATGTCAAGCTGGCCACCTGCCCCCCCCAAGGTGAAACACAACCCTGATGTGGCCCTCAATGAAATCGAGTTTGACACTCCTGGTATAAATAAACAAGGAAGTTCAGAAATATAATTGAAAGGGAGACAGTAAAACTTACAAGAATTACAGTACATGTTTGGAAAAAGAAACCAAAGCATCTTGTCCAGTGCAACCCCTCCTGTCCCCAGTGATTTCTCCAAGAAAACAACCCTGTCTTAGTGGGGAACACATGCAGTTCAGAGTTGAGTTGTTGGGTTCATGATGCTTTCTGAGCTTCTCTTCCTCCATATTGACATGCTGCTCATGTTACCTTCCCTGGAAGAGAAGGGAGCTCAGGGAACA